AAGTGCCCTGACACCTCATTGGTCAGCTTCAGCACAGCCCAAGTGCCCTGACACCTCATTGGTCAGCTTCAGCACAGCCCAAGTGCCCTGACACCCATGTGTTTTCACCTTTCTCTTCCTTTTTCTTTTCATTCTCCTTCCCTTGTTTGCTTTAGTCTGGTTTCCTTTTCTCTTACTTTTTTCTGCTTCTCTTTTCATTTTTTCCCTTTGTATGAATAATTTCTTTTAGAAGGACCAGCACAAGACTGGTTCCTATGAGGTGGAGGAACCAGTCTTGTGCTGGTCCTTCTAAAAGAAATTTTTTTTTAGAAAATTTTCTTTTCTCAAATGTTGTACTGCTTTACATCATCTCTATAATCAACTCCTCCTCCTCCCCACAGTATCCTCCCTCACATCTCAGGATTCTATAACTTGCTGCTACATCTCACAGAACTCATGAACCATCTAGGAAATGGCTCACGTGGTTGTGGAGATTTTCGAGTCCCAAATACATAGTTCAGACCTCCATTAGGAAGATTCTCCTCACTCATGTGGTGGCAGGGGCTTATGAACCCAATCTGCAGGTCAGTTGACAGCCTGGTGATTCACAAGGTTGAAGATGCCAGCAAATCTGAGCAGGCCTCTGGCTCAAGTCCCAAGAACTGGAGGTCAGGCAGAGCCAAGCAGATGCAGCATCCAGAGCAAGAGAGCAAACGTTGCCAGTTACCACAGACCCCCAGGTATAAAAACCAGTTCTCTTAGTTACTTAGATCTATTATAACCGAACCAGCACATGTGGCTGGCTTTAACAAATGAAAATTTATTCTCTCACCGGTTAGGAGGCTAGATGTCTGAATTCAGAATGCCAGCTCAAGAGAAAGACAAACAACATAAAATTAATATTATAACATCACCCAGAAGAAAACCCAGGTATGTCAGTGGTGGTGGTGGTGGTGGTGTGCTGTGGAGTCCGTTCCGACTCATAGCAACCCTGTATAGGGTTTCCGAGGCTGTAAATCTTTACAGGAACAGAACGCCTCATCTTTCTCCCATGAACAGTTGATGGATTTGAACTGCTGCCCTTGTGGTTAGTGACCCAATGTATAACCCACTACACAAACAGAGTTCCTTAGATATGTTGTTAAGTGCTGTCGAGTCGGTTCCAACTTACAGTGACCCTGTATAGGGTTTCTGAGAAGCGACTGGTGAGTTTGAACTGCCAATCTTGCAGTTCAAACTGAACTTGTTGTCCCGTGTTTATCCTACAGTGCCAGAAGTATCCAAAGTGAAATAAACCTACAAGACTGAAAATAGGGAACCAGAGACATCCATTTGTAAATAAGAGCAAATACAAAGTAAAAAGAGGGAATAAATAGTATAGTTACAGAGCTTTCAAATGGTGAGGTGAGGAAGTCAAGACAATTTCAAGATAAAACAGACCGCTTTAAACTTGGGAAGAAAATAATGACAGAGCAATTCCAAAGAAAATGAATTACCCTTCTCACCAAAATTAAAAGGAGAAAAATCATAATGATTTTATGATTAATGTGCTGGACCGAAAGGTCAGTTTGAACTGCAAGCTTCACTAGCCACTCCTCGGAAACCCTATACAGCAGTTGGTATGAGTCGGAACCAACTTGACCACATTTAACAACAACAACAAAACAACAATGAAGGATCCACCCAGCTAAAACCTTTGCTGAGCTCTAACAACAGTGTGGCATTCCAGCTTCACCGCCTCTCTCCCTATGCTTAACTGCTCCCCCTGCTGGCTGGTTTCTGGATAGTGAGGCTATCAGAACCACCCAAAACACGTGCTTACAATTCAGAGTCCAGGGCCCCTGCTGGAACAGACCACTGGGCATGAGGCCTGGGCATCTGCACTGACAAACTGCAGGCGGAAGGCTCCACACACAAGCCAAGGATTCCGCAGGAAAAGATAACTTAGGAGGCACATGGGAGGGAAATGAGGGAACAGAACCATATAAAGATTCACTACCAGAGTTAGAAATTATTCTGGTGCCGGCCTGAATGAAACAAAGTCAGAAAGGGCAAAACACTTTTTATTGAAGAACTTACTGAAGTGTTGTTACTTGCCCCCAGTGCCCTTGTGTCCCTAGGCTGTCCTTCTGCTGCAATGCGAAGGGTTCTCTAAAAGCATTTTCTCTGGACCACAAATGGCCCAATCTCCTTGAAATTGGCAGAGGTGACCCACATCTGCTTGAAGGTACTCAGAGAGCTCATGATGGATGCACCGATCCACGAGGAGAAACACCTGTCAAGAGAAGCTGTGATCTTGATGGGGGTCCCTCTGGCAGCTACCAATTCCAGTTCTTTCAACAAGCGTTCCTCGAACCCAGGGAACAGAGTGGTGCCACCGGCCAGCACAATCTCTGCAAAAAGGGAGGCCTGGAGATCGCTGTCACACTTCAAGATGCTCCTGGTGACCATTTTCGTGATCCCGGGGCTTTGGACACCCATCTGGTCAGGTGCAAAGAGGGTTTCTGGAACCTGGTATTGCTGGTCCCCAATGCAGATTGTAGTGCCATCTGGCAGTCTGTACTCTCTCATGACCTCCTCCTTCCTCTTGCTTAGCTCTTTGTCTGGATCAAAGGCCACATAGCACAGTTTCTGCTTCATGTCATTCACCAAGACTCTTTTGCGAATGTAGGAGCTGGTATGCCCGCTGGCCAGAAGCAGCCGAGACAGGTGTTCTGTAAGGTCCCTGCCGGCCACATAGAGCTTGCTGACAGCATGAGGCAGGGAGTAACCCTCGAAGACTGGGACGGTACAAGTGACCCCGTCCCCACTGTCCACCACCAGGCCAGTAACACAGGCAGAAGCATAGAGTGCTAACACCGCATGGTTAGACAGATAGAAGGCAGGCACATTGAAGGTCTCAAACATTACCTCTGCCGTCTTCTCGCGAATCTGTCTTGGGTTCAAGGAGGTCTCAGTCATGAGTACGGGGTATTCGCTGGGTTTCACGCCCAGATCACACTCGAAGAGGTGCTTCCAGAGTTTCTCCATGTCATCCCAGGACATGACAAGGCCACGCTCAATAGGGTAGTGCACATCTAAGATATCATACTTGTAAAGGACTCCATCCCCTATGAAGTAATCCTGATTTCTTGCAGCCGAAGACAAGTTCAATTTTGGATATCCAACTACAGAGCTGATGACATGACGGGGTGTGATCTCACCAGCCCAGCCAGATTTGCAGAACCCAGATCCAATATCAAAAACGATGCCTGGATTATCTAAACAATCTAGATTAGACATATTTACCTCATCCTCTGCTGAGCTTCCTCCAAGAAAAGTCAAAACACTTAGGCTACTTTGTGACACAAGAGCCACAGGATTCCACAGTCCTCAGGATGGCCCCCAAACAGAACTGCCAGGACTTGCCCAATCTCCAAGAAAACCCTATCCTCACCTGATAAACCTGCCCTCCTTTCACATGACCCAGGCTCTGCTTCAGCCTTCCCAAGGATGGCTCCCCCACTAGGTAACAATGTAACCAGGCAACAACAGTTCTGAGTGAGCATCACAGGGGCCTTAAAGGGGCAGGGCTCTGACCCACTCTGCTTAGTGAAGCATAAAACAGAAAAACACTAACCATACCTACCAACTGGTGGCTTGCTAACCCAGGGCTCTGACCCACTCTGCTTAGTGAGGCATAAAACAGAAAAACACTAACCATACCTACCTACTGGTGGCTTGCAGGAGCTTGTTAACCCAAAGCAGAAGCCTAGCCTTAGAACCAAGAGAAGCAGCTCAGCTGTGAGCTGATCCCAGAGAACTGCTCTGGGGTTGATAAAAATACACTTTCCCTTTGCTAATGGGAGGCACTAAGCACTAGACACACAGCCAGGTCACAGTGATGACATCGTTGACACTCAGGTCTTTCTAGTTTCCGCTGATATTTACTGTTGTTTATCTCCATGGATATATAACTCACATACAGTGCAATTCAGTCATTTAAACTGTATAATGAAATGTGCCATTGCATATGTACATCAACAAAGTTTAGAGTATTTTTATCATATGGATGCAACCTCCCCATCCTTTAGTTATGGAGTCCTGGTGTGGCACTGTGGGTTAATGCACCAGACTGAAGAGCCATTTGAATTGCAAGGTCAGCAGTTCAAGCTTACCAGTAGCTACTCAGAAGCCCCAGCTATGGGTCGGAACCGACTTAACAACAACAACAACTTCCTTTAGTTATCACCTTTGTATTACCAATTTCCTCAATGACTCAATCTTTATGATTAGCAAAATAATATTTAGGTGGTCTAGCCATTGCCCTGTGTTTGTTAAAGTGTGATTTTGTAAATGGCTATCAGTAAGAATTTTCTACCAGTACATTCCAGATCCTTTATATTTTTGTAGTTGTTACATGCCGTCAAGTCGATTCTGACCCATAGCAACCCTGTATAGGGTTTCCAAGGAGCAGCTGGGTGAGCCTGAACTAGTTTCAACAGAATTTCCAGTTTGTTTTTTGCCATTTCTTGGGGTCAGAAGTGGAATTTCGAAGCAGCCTTATTTTTAGTGCCGCCAAGAAGACAAGGACCTGGAGTTTGGGCACCCGGAGTCCACTGAAGCTCATCACTCCATGGTTTCTCAGCACTCACTGAGGTAAGCACCTCTTGCCTATTCACCTCAGGCTTTTTGTACTGAGTTTTTCAAGAATTATTGAAGGATTCCAGTTTTGTTTTGTCACCATATGTTTCATTTTATCTTACCTATTTTCATTCTGGTCTTGCAAGAATTGTTGCCAAATGCCTCTGCTAGTATCAGGAGTGTGTAGTTCTGGGCAATTGTCTTTCCTAAAAGTTTTCAAGTTTTTGGAATCTTAGGCTCTATAAGCTGCAAAGACAATAAGGGCAAAGGACAACTAGTAAGCGCTGGTTGGGTGGTCGCCAGCCATGAAAGTTAAAGACTCTTGTGTCAAGATAAACCAGTTCGAGGGATGTATCAGAAGCGATAGGCTGCGCATCTCAAAACAATACCCATGCAACAAGTCACGCATTGGTATAAACAAAACACACTGCCTAAATCCCCACCGGAGTTTTGTTGAATTTCAGAGTACTAAATTTGGAGCAGAGTCAAACCTTCTTTAAGTTGGAAAATGCCATATTGAGAGACAATGTGGAATGCCTTCTAAGACTCTTGCCCGATATATGGCCAATTACCATAGCTCAGCTACTTGTTTACACTTCTCTGCTTGGCATTATGTCACTAAGGGCAGTCTGAAAAATGGGTGGCTAGGCTCTGATTCTTTGGAATTATGTGAATTGAATTTTCTGGATTGCTGTTGTTGTGAAGTGCCATCAGAATGGTTCTGACTCATAATGACCCTGTATACTGTTTCCACGGAGCGACTGGTGAACGTGAACCACTTACCCTTGAAGTTCAAACCAACCTTGTGGTCCAGTGCAACAGTAGAAGTGAAAGACTCTCAAATTAATCAGCAAAAATGAAATGCTTCTTTAAAATGGGGTTTTGAAGCTTCTAGAAGATGTGATAATAATGAAATTGTCTCTCTACTGGATGTTTGGAAATTAACTAAATAAGGAATTGCAATTCTAGATTTTTGTTTCAAGTATTCAAACTGTCCTGGAACCATCCACTCCCTTTCTTTTGTATCCTTGTCTGCTTCTCCACCAACCTCTCTTTTGTATCCTTGTCTGCTTCCTTGGTTCTCTGATGTTACTAAAGATTACTCTACTAATAATTTGTCTGAACTTTCATCTTTCTTTAAAGATCCTACTGAGAAAATGATGCTCTATTTCTAAAGTGCCTTTTAAAATCTGTCCCAGTGCAAATACTGAGGATTCTCTTCACATTACTTCACTCCGTGCTGTTGTTATTAAGTGCCGTGGAGTCAGTTCCGATTCATAGTGAGACTGTATATAGTTTCCAAGAAGTGGCTAGTGAGTTTGAACCACCGACCCTGCAGTTCACACTGACTTTGCGGTCCAGTGCTTTATCCCACAAAGCTACACCAGGACTCTACTTTACTCCTTAGATGTGCTCAAAAATACATACAATTTCTACAGGGGTGGGTCTTGATGGTGGATAGGGTAGAGGTGCACTGAAGTTAGTCTTTAGCAATACCACAGAATACCAAGGGAAAAGGGTTCAGGGCAGAGCTCCAAAACTTTGAACCACATATCTAGGAATATTTTTAAAGTTTGAAGGCTTATAACTAGTGGAACTTGTAGCAGGAGTAAGAAATCATGTAATTTTTAATCTGCCGGGATCAGCGGCCCAGAGCCGACAACTTGAGTGAGACCAAATGGCAAGACCAACCAGGGGAACAGACCCACCACGGGAAAATGCAGTGGGAACCTCAGTGCAAAGCTAGACAATACACTTTGTTGGTTTTGCTTTGTTCTGATTTTTTTCTTTTTTTCTTTTTGGTATCTGTTCATTGGCCCCCCCACTGTTTGTGCACCTCCATTTAGAGGGGGAGCCTGAGTGAGTGCACACTCCCACCAATGCTGGGTTCTTGTGCCATGCATGCACACAGATACTCTCAGCACAGGAGGCGGCTCAGAACCATTTTTTAATAGGGAAAAGCCCAGAACAAGGGGTGTGGAGAGGGAAAGAGAGTTTAAAACCAAAACAGGCCAAAAATTAAATTAAATCCTGAAGTGCACCATAACAACAGAGTGGCATCGTGAAATTTATCAGGTGGCTTTCAAGGCAAGAAGTTGAAAGAGGGCATTAAAGTCATACTCATATTAGGCTACAGATTTTTTTCTTTTTCTCTCTCCCTCCTCTCTCTTTTCTGCAATTATCCCTCCTCTCCTTTTTCTGCAATTACTGACTACAGTATCCTGTTTTGTTGTTGTTGTTTTTGTCTTTGTTTCAAGATGTTTTGGGTTTTTTCCCTGTCTTTCATGTTTTTTGTTTTTTTGTTTTTTGCTGTTGCTGTTTTATGCTCCCCCTTTTGCCTTTAGGGAATTCTTTCTCTCCCTATATTATCCAAGAAGAGAGAGCAACTCCTGCCATATAGTCAAGCTACAATCACACTCTATAAAACACCAAAATCCAGGCAAGAACCAATACCAACTGCCATACACCAGGGAGGCAGACA